TGTTGTCTTCTTACCTTTTTGTGCTTCTTTTTCTCTTTTCTTCAGAAATAAATGTCATTCCTTCTTATAGACAAAATACCATCTTTTTGGAAGTAAAATAGATAAAAACAAGGAAAAACCTAACTAGAAAACAATAAAAACACTATTAATAAACACACACCCTTAGGTAAAGATAATAAAGCCTGAGGAGTCATACAAATATCTTCAGTCAATTCACCATGAAGGAAAGCGTTCTTCGCATCCATTTGATAAACACACCACCCATTAGAAGCATCTATATATACCAAGGTGTTTAATGTTTGGTTTGAACACCCCGATTTTCTATCTATTGTGGATAAAGCATGGAATTCAAGTGGAGTGAGAGATAAAATTTAAGGGTTGTACTAATTATATATGGGCTTTTACAAAACTTGTTGGAACACCATCAAGGATGATTCAATGGCTTTTTTGAATGAACTTTATCATAGTGGCAATCTTCCTAAGGTAATTACCGCTAGTTATTTTACTTTGATTACAAAATTTGACAATGCTCAATAAGTTAGTGACTTTAGGCCAATCTTCTTGGTCTTGAGTTTGTATAGGATAATGGCAAAAATTCTTGCTCCAAGGTTAAGAAGGGTTATTCCTCCATTAATTTTTAGGAATCAATCAGATTTTGTTCAAAATAGAAAATTTTATGATGTATTTGAAAAGATCTATTTCTTGTAGGGTGAGTCGTTTAATTTAGGTTGTTGTATGTTGGGTTATTTTGTTAAGTAGGATTTGTGTTGTTTTTAGGTGGATTTAAAAATAAGAGGAAAATGATTATTCAAGTTAAATTGTTAATTTGGGAATGGTTGGTTGTAAACTTCAAAGAATTTAAAGGTTACTCTTTAGATTCTTGAAACTTAAATCCTATAACTTGTATTTCTACAACTTGGAATCACTTAGTTAAAGTACTAAATATACTCCTTAATATCAATTTTCTTATAAAAAACAAGAGATCTAACTAACGCCATATTCTTCACTTTAATTGGGTAGATGGTGATAAATTGTCCAAACAAAAACAAAGTATTTTTGTATTTCAAGAAATACACGACTAATAAGGAGTGAAAAATCATTAGCTAGAACTTAAACTAAGCTAGAAAATTTTAAACTATAATTAATGTCTTCCTAAAACTCATAACAAATTTCCAAAAACAAAATTAACTCCCTTATTTTCTCAAAAGAACAAATAAACGGTAAAATAGGTCATACCGAACAAAAACAAAACAATGATTTAAAAAGAGTAGATAAAATAAAATAAAATACATTAATATCATAATAAATCACAAAATTTTTTTTATAAGCAATAGCTTGGATTATGAGAGGCACTAAGGGTACACAACCCTTAACACAAGAAGAAAGAATCCAAAAGAAAAAGACCAAAGGCCTCAAAAGCAAAATTACAAGAATTTACAAGTAATGATTTGAGCTGGATTACACATCCAATCCTCCCAATAATGAGATACACTATTACAAAGGAAGGAGTAATATCAATCTCATGAAAGAGCTTTGATCCTATCGACTAAATCTAGGTTTGCATGATCTTCATCCTTAAAAATAATAGTGTTTCGATTTAACCAAAGGATCCAAACATTTGCTTCCTAAAACAAACCAAAAAGTTTGTCAAGAAATATCCTCTTAAGCTTTGAACAAATCAAAATCAAATAATCTGTCAAGGAAAAATTTCCTTCCTCCGTCTCTATTCCCAACCAAGAAAAAACATCTTTCCGAACAACTTTACTAATCACACAATTTTTGAAAAGATGTCGCTCATCTTACTCCATATCTTGACAAGAAGCATAAGCTCAATTCTCAACTTCCGACAGAATATTTCTTTGGATCAATTAAACTTTGGTCATGACGCCTTCCATAAATATTCTCCAACCAAAACCCTAGATTTTACTAGGAATTTTTTACTTCCATATCAAATCTAAACCAACAAAAAACGTAGAATTCATTACGAAATCTGCATCCAGCTGCTTCTGCAATTCAGCATAGCTACTGCTGGCCGAAAAACAATCATTGTCCCGCCACCTGATAAAAGCATTTGAACAATCATAAAAAAGGAAGGATGGTCCAAAATAAGCGATAAATACTCCAAGTGATTATGAACTTCCACAGTTAAATTAGTTAAATCACAAGGACATTGATTTGATCATTAGTGAAAGAGCAGATGAGATACCACAATAAGTTGAATGTTAGAGATCTATAGTTGTATCTCTTACATAATTACATAAAAATACATGTGTTTTCAAAAATACTAAAACCTTATAACAAGTTTTAAAAACCTAAAATATTAATGAATGTAAGTAAGAAGTCATTATAATGATGTATATTGAAGTTCTCTTAACGAGACTCGAAAGATTTAATTTAAAGACTAAATAGTTTTTTTATCCTTTATCTTTGACTCATAGTTCAATTTGATTCCTTAACTTTTAAAAGACCATTTTGATCTCTTAATTATGAAAATTGGATTGTGTTAGTCATTTTTGTATATTTTGTTAGTCAAAATCAATGGATAAAGTTATGTGATTTGATTAGTGTTTTTCATCTTCTTTCTCAAACTCAAAAACTCCCAAAAAAAACTAATGTTGTTCTTCATGTTCTTGACAACCAAAACAAACCTAGAAAATCAATAGCCCACAATAGATCCATTTTCATTTGCTTTTGAAGGGTCAATATTCATGTCAGAAAATTTCAAAAAGTTACATTTACCATCTCCTAATCTCGAAAACCCAATATTTACCATCTTCAAATCTAAAACAACCATCATTCATAAAACCCAAAATTCAAACGATGTAGCAAAAACAGTAGCCATAAATTGACGTAGCCGAAGTAGTAGCCATAAAACCCAACATTCGTAAAACCCATGTCTCATACTTTGCATCATAATTCATAAACCCATCCCATTGAAAGTGTGGATTCTAGTTTTGTGAAGTACATAAACACTTTGAGTATTGAATAAGAAATCAACAGTGAAATTCACAAACTCAGAGATTGAAGTTAAAATGTATGGCAATGAAGAGATTTGCGAGTGGACGCGAAGCTTTTTCAATAAAATCCCTTGAATAAGCAATGCAAAATTATTGAAGTTGTTGTAATGTCTAGTGATAATAATCTTGGATTGCTTATTCTACTCGCAGTTCATGTTTATGCCTCTATCGTTGCCAATGTAAGAAAAAGTTTGAAAAAAACATGAATACATTGTTGTTGATGATGTTGTTTTTGTTATAATGTTTTTGTTATAAGTGTGATAACATGTGTATTAGTTTGTTTAGGGTTTGATTTGCATCGAAATTGACAATGATGAATATTTATGTACAAAATCTAGTAAATTCAAAAAAAAATATTTACTAACCGATTATACTGTCTCTTAATCGGTCACAAAACTTGATTGTAACATGCCATGTACCATGTAAGGGAAAGTTAATGATGTTAATGATATTTGGACGGAAAGTATTAACTTGATCTATTTGCAGAGTTATGAAATTAAAAAGTAATTTTTTTAGATTTAAGAGATCAAACTGGATTCCAAGTCAAAAAAATAAGGGACCGAAATAAATATCTAGCCTAATTAAGTAGTATTTAATAAAATAATAATTTAAATTTTAAATATGAACAATTATGAAACTCTATTGTATTTATAAATTTGATATTTGAACACACATCTAAACCTAGTTTCTTTTCTGTCACAAGTTTAATTCAACCAATATCAAAAGAATCAAAATATCAAAGCATCAAATCTATCAAAGCATAAAATGGATATAAGGAAATTTTACCCCATACCCCTACATTTATACCCATACCCCTACACTAAAAAATATTGGACCAAAATACCCTTGTATAAATAGTTATAATTTTAGAAATTTTACACTTTCATTTCATTTGCACTTCAACACTTCTGGAACACCCTTTTTTCACATACAAACCGGAAGTCTTCCAACAAGTCATCCGGAGCTACATTTTTCACCTACATATACCGGAACTCTAATAGTAAGTCTTCCGGTTTATTGTATTTTTTCGTTTGTTCATCGGAAAACTTTATGTATGTCTTCCGGTTCATATTTTTTTTGTTTGTTCACCGGAAGTCTTTGATCAAGTCTTCCGATACATGGCTTTTTACGTTTGTTCACCAGAAGTCTTTAATCAAGTCTTCCGGTTCATGTTTTTTTTTAAAATTTTTAATTTTATTTATTTATTTATTTTGACAGTGGTGCGCATACGAGGCAGAGATGGTAGGATCCCTTCTAGAGGAATAGGACGAGGCGAGTCATCGAGAATGGCTGAAGAAGAGTATTTTGATGCATCTGCATCAGCATTCGAGCTTGTTGGATATCCAGGAGGACCGTACGATACCTCTGTTTTAGTTAAGTACGAACATCATGTTGCTAGACATATATGGATCGGTGAGGTAAGTAAACGAAAATTATTTAATATTGAATAAAATTCGAATTTTTAATGTTGAATTTTATAATATATTTACTTTTAATTGTTTTTAGGAGAGAGGGTCGAAGAAAGAGTTAAAGGTAGCGGGACATGGATTGAAGTTGATTCAAAGGGTTCCGCTACAACTACCCAGAGAGATGGAGGGTTGGATATCTAGGTCTGGTCTAGCTTCACTCAAGAGAACCAGTTTAACAAAGATAGACACGAACCTGGTTTCCGCATTTGCAGAGAGATGGCATCTAGAGACATCTTCATTTCACATGTCGTTTGGTGAGATGACGATTACTCTAGATGACGTATCTTGCCTGCTTCACTTGCCCATCAGAGGAGTCTTCTGGAGCCCTCAAGATATCAGTGAAGCGCTTGCTGTTGAGTGGGGTGTTGATTATTTAGGAGTGTCACGGAGAGTAGCACAGCAATAAGTCCGTGACTGCAGGGGTTCCTACTATAAGTTGGAGTGGTTATATGATCGATTCATAGAGTATAGAGCTACATTTATATGGGATTATGCCACTAGAGCTTATTTGTTGATGTTACTGGGTTCCACTATTTTTGCAGACAAGACATTTACACTTGTCGAGGCACGATACCTCTCACTATTTATAGACTTGGATGGCTTATCAGGATACAGTTGGGGAGCAGCTGCGTTGGTTACTCTTTATAGATATCTCGGAGATGCTTCCATGTTCAGTTGTAAGCATCTTGGTGGTTATCCGACTCTCCTACAGGTATTTATTTTAATTTAGTATATTTTCTTTTAATTAATTTTATCTAGTATATTAATTTTATTTATCTAGTTTATTATGTTATAATTAATTATTTTAAATTTAGTAACAATATTAATTTTGTAACAGTGCTGGATTCATGAGTATTTTCCAACACTTGGAAAAAAAGGAGAGAATTGGATACCAGCTAATAATGTGGGTCTCCCTCGAGTGATGAGAAGGTCCTATAAGCAAGTTGCCTGGAAGGTGGATGACTTGCAACCTATTCTGGATGAGCTGACACCTGCCGATGTCATATGACGCCCATTCGAGAATCATAGAGTATGGCGTCAGTTTGATGAGTTATGTCTATATATGGGGTGTCTGAGATGGGGTGACACTATTGTTCCATACTTGCCTGACAAATGTATGCGTCAGTTTGGATACAGGCAGTATGTTCCACATCCACCTCTTGATTATACGATGGCTAGTGATATTGATGTTGACTGGATTAGTTACCATCAGAGCGTTCAGGATGTGATTCGTCCGACAGCACCAGCCACCACCCCATATGAGACAGATGATGGATATCTTGAGTGGTATTATCGTGTTTCGCATCCTCGTCTGGTACTGCCCTATCGTGATGCGCCAACAGAGATGTCAGTTCCTGTATATGAAGCAGGACCATCTGATCCTAGCCGGGCTCGTGTGTCTTCATTGATTCATCGTTATCTTCAACAGGCTAGTGCTGAAGAGGATGACCCACAGTTTGCTAATTTGTTCGAAGCTTTACATATTGATCGATCACAGTGACTTATATTTATATTTATGGTTATATGTTAACTTTTAGACTCATTTGACCTAATTGGTTTATGTTTTGTGTTAACTTTTAGACTCATTTGACCTAGTTGGTTTATGTTTATGTGTTAACTTGTAGCCTGAAATAAAAAATGAATAACATAATTCACGATTCATGTTTTGAAATTCAAAATGAATAACATAATTCATGATTCATGTTTTGAAATTAAAAATGAGTAACATAATTTATAATTCATAATGCGTTGGTAATATAGGCGTAAGTTGTTGTCAACGTTGTAGACGTCCTGCAAATCCTAGCATCCAAGATGTTGCTGTTGGAGAACGAAACTTCTCCTAATCTACTGTCACTGGTGGCAATGGAAACCCTTCTTTCATGTTTACCTAAATGAAAAAATAATCAAAATATTAAGTAAAAATAACGAAAAAGAATTAGGTTTAATCGCATTATCTAAAAACAACTATGTACCTGAACCCAATGATTTCTATTTACAAAACCAATGCAGTAAATTGCTACATTTGGTGAAAATGAAATTGTCATAGGGAAGAAAGTCCAGCATTCAACTCCTAAATAGACAAGTACAACATTATAACGATTCACTATCACGTAACCCATATCCGGTAGAGTTAACCATTTATGTGGTGGTTGAGGACCAAATTCACCTATCATCAAAGATTCTCTCACTACTACTAACTGATCAATAAATAAATTGGCATACAAACTTGATCTTTCATTATGTATTGTTTCCAACCCCACGTCTCGACAAACCATTGGTCAAACATATTCACCATATCCATGCAATGAAGCAATGACTCTAAATCCACAATTACCATTTGATACAACATTAACTACATCATCAATATATGATCTAATGTGATTAGAAAATTGAAGGATGATCTGCTTAGATGACTGTGAAGATTGCGATAATTTCAACTTCTTCGAAGTCTGTGATGGTTGAGATTTCTTTTGTGAAGACTGTGACAATTTCAACTTCTTCGAAGTTTGTGATGGTTGAGATTGCCTCTGTGAAGATTGAGATGCTTGATCAACATACTAATGATACGAAGGGTCTCTATAAACATCATACCCTACTGGTTTTTTATCTTTCTTCTTGACTCCCCCTTTAGTTTTTATTTTCTCAGGTGGTGGACACATAGAAGTCATTGTGGGGAAGGCAAGTTCAAAAACCCTACTTTTTAATGCCTTTTTTCCAACAACATCCAGTTACTTAAACCTTTTCCATAACTAATCTATTGCACTACTCATATCCACCTCGGATCCATCATCTACGTCTTCGTCCAACTTAACTTCCATACTTAGTTTTCTCCAATGAACATGCACAACATCTATTAGTATCGGTATACCACCAATTCTATATCCTGTCAACTCACAAGCACAAGGTAATCTGTAGGTTTTTCTAAGAGTATAACGACATATTTCCTTGTTAGTTCCAACATAATCAACTCGTTTTAACTCTTCAGCAATGCGTCTCAATGCATCTCGAGACACTGAACCACGTAAATTATTGTAAAATGGACTTACGTGGGCGTGCTCAACTTTATAAAAACTCTTTCGAAAAGAAGCTCTAATATTTCCCAATTGTAACTTTAAGTTGTTATTCATAGCCTCCCAACATTTGACCATGTCACCGATACTGTTCCCCAACATTTGCTTTAACTTCCAATGAGCAGACTCAACCCTAAAATTAAGACATATTAAAAATATTTTAAAAAAATAAAAAAAATACAAATTAGAAATACTAAAAATAAATACATACCGATTAGTTGTGGTGTTACCCAAATGTAGCACTCGATTAATCCATGCTCCAACAAATCTTTGTCTATGTGGTGTCAACCATGTGTCCTTCACATAATTAATAAATTCATTACAATCAACACACGCCTGATCAAGTTGGTTCAACCTTTGATCATACTCAACCTCATCACTAGCCCATACAACATCCGTCCATAATTCGTCAATTTTCTTTTGCATGTCACTAGCCACATATTGTTTCCGTTTTGCACCAACATTCTTGTTAATATGAAATCGACATAGCAAATTGACCGACCTTGGAAACACAATTTCAATGGCTTTCATCAAAGCAAGATCTCTATCTGTCAAAATCACTTGTGGACACAACTCTTTCTTCACAAACAATTGTTTAAGCTTATCTAGCACCCAACAAAAAGTCTCAGTCTGCTCAGACTCAATATAGGCAAATGTGACAGCAAAAGTCAACTCGGTTGATGTCCTGCCAACAATTTTAAACAGAGGTTGTCTATATTTTTTTGTCTTGTAAGTGCACTCCATAACTAACACAATAGGAAAAATATTCAACAACTTAACTGAATTTGGATGAGCCCAAAATATATCTCTAATAACTTCAGAGTCATCTCTTTTTCTACTCCAATAAACATAACCTGCTTCCTCAATAAGCTTAAACAAATGTTGTATCTCACTTCTAGGACCTCTTATATTTTTTTCTATCATACTCTTCTGCTTGTATAATTGCGTGATCCAAGTGATATTATCTGGATCTTGCTCTTGCAATGAAAGCAATATATGTCTAGGTGGAACCTTTCTCTGTCAAATCAACAACATATTACTTCTGATCCGCTGTCAACCTACCAACAAATGCGTGATCTTCTAATCTATCAGGTAAATCATGGTTATAAACTCCACATTTTACATCAATCTTCCATCCAGATCCATCAGTCGCTATAATTGATTTGATTCTAAATGGACATCCACATTTTTTTCGTCGCACTCTGGGTTCCACTATCAATATCTTTGTGTTTTCCTCCTTTATCACATCCAAATATTAATTTGTTACTTCTTCCTATCTTGCCTGTTTCAATATCTGAACGAGTGATGATAACCGTTACTTTATTTCGGATTCCAATCTCTTTAATCCATCTTATCACCTCTTCTCGTGTACCAAATATTTGAGTAGTTGAAAAAATATCAGACGTATCTACGCATATCTGATCTTTATCGCATATTTGTAAAGGAATTTTTGTACCTGCATAAAAATAAAATTACAAAAAAAAAAAATACAAATGCAAACTGGAAGACTCAGGAAAAGAGTTTCGGTAGCCAACGTTACCAAATCGGAAGACTTGTAAAAAGTGTTCTAGTACACTTTTTACAAGTACCGGAACTCTTAAGAAAAGTGTTCCGGTAAAATTCTATGAAAAACGCAAACCGGAAGTCTTTGATAAACTCTTCCGGTACATATTGTGTTTAAATCGGAACTCTTTGCCAAAGTCTTCCGGTTTGGAAAAAACAATATACCGGAAGTCATTTTAAAAGTGTTCTGAAAGACTCGATTGGTGAATTTCTCGGAACTCTAAAAATTTGACACAACACAGTAAAAAGTAAAAAAAATAATATAATAAAAAATATACTGGAATAAAATTGGTATTTTTTTTTAAAATTGTAGGGGCATGGGGTAAAATTGCCTGGATATAAAGATACCCAAAATCCCATTTGAAAAAAAAAGTTACATGTTCGCGAGCAACAACAAAACCGCGTTTTAGAAAATATTATAGGTTTACCTTTACTTTGCAAGAGAAAATGCGGAAAACTAGAAGAAAAAAAATGCATGCGACTGTCACTGAAGAGAAATCATAAATTGCCAAAGAGAGAATATTTTACAGAAGAGAAAGCAATGATGAGATATTGTTATTGCGATGTTGATTCAAATTTGAGGTTGATCTAGAGTCAACGGAAATGGGATGTAGTAGTAGAACCGAAGCTTTAGATGAAATTGGAAAAGAAAGAATGTAATTAGGTTTTTTTTCCAGAGAGAGAGAGAGAGAGGAAATTTTTGATTTTCTTTTGTTTTTGTTTCAAAATAATTGTTGAATATAATTTTTAAGAAAAAAATTAATGTAAAAAATATAATTTATTGAAATTATGAAAAGATATAATCTATCCATATGATATAATGGATGGATTGAATCACATTTAATATATTTTTTTCTTTATAACAAAACCGTGTTGACACCGTGCAAGATGAATTATTGCACAAGAGTTAAAATTTGACATTATTAATATGTAATGATAAGCATGTTCACAGTTTTGAGAGACTCTGATACTTATGACTTATGAATTGGTTTGGATTGAATTTTTTTTTGTTGATAAAATTCAAACCGAAATAAATTGAGAAATAAGGGATTTGTTTGGACTGAATTGATCGGATACATTAGAAACAAATGTGTAAAAATAGTTTTAAAAAATATCTAATTTACATCAACTAATATTTCATAATAATATAAAATTCTTAATTTTTTCGTTTATTCATATAGGTTGGTAATGTCTCAAATGGCCTTGCATTTTTTTCTTCTTGAAATTGAATATCTTATACTAGGTTTTATAATAACAATGATATAAAATATATGAATTAATTTGGTTGGTTCGAGTATACGGGTTTGCGGGTAAAATTTTAAAAATTAGTTGTCCGAACCAACTAACATCAATTTTCATTAGTTTAGTTTGATTT